TGCATTTAACACACACCCACATGTCGGTTATGAAACCTCATCAACCACACGCCTCTATCGGCGACCACGTCATCAGGAGGCAATGATGAGAAATGTTCTCCCGTGCCCTTCTCACATTTAACGACATGAAATTCCACAACATAACATACATGAGACGCACAAGACAGCTACCAAACTGATGTTTGAGCCTGTCACCCGAGAGTTGTCCCTATATGTGCTGTCTAGGAAATCGTAGACATACCGGTAGTTTTCTCTGACCCTATGATTCATGCTCTGACTCTTTTCTGCGATAGAGATGGCACATCAGCCGCACATACTCCGCACATATGCATGCCAAACTGAGAATATGTTTATAAACTGATGGAGATTGCATGTCCTACAACTAACAGGGTGCGACACACAAAACGCCCGACTACCCAACAGTACCCAACACCTTTCGTCTGCACCTTCCCAACATAACATATATGAGACACACAAGACAGTTACCAAACTGATTTGTTGAGCCTGTTACCCACAGGGGAGATGTCCCTGTATGCTGTCTGGGAAATCGTAGACACACAGGTAATTTTCTCTGACGCTATGATTCCATTGATAATCTGTCTCTGACTATTTTCTATGATAGAGATGGACTCGTTGCGTCACATTAAGAAAAATAAAACAAAAGACACAAGACCCAAAAGCGAAAAAAATCTCCCGGACTACTCACTTCAAGTTCATCACGTAGTCCGGGTGGGAAACAAACTCTCAGGTAGCGCCTTCGTGAGGAAGTCGGCATGCTGATNATCACGTAGTCCCGGTGGGAAACAAACTCTCTCTCAGGTAGCGCCTTCGTGAGGAAGTCGGCATGCTGATACTTCGACGCTACGTGGATGATCTCTACCTCCTTCTCATCTACGAGCTGCCTGAGGAAGTGATGCCGCGCGTCGATGTGCTTCGAGTTGGAATTCGAGATCGGGTGTTTTGCGATCTGGATAGCCCCTTCGTTGTCTTCATACAGTGGAATGCACGGCCGCAACTCCTTAGGCAACATGAAACACCAAACTTGCCTCAAAAACAAAATCTCCTTCCCCATGTCCGCCACCGCCACGTATTCTGCCTGCGTGGTAGACAAATTCACACACTTTTGAGTCTTGGACAACCATGCAATCGCCCCTCCCGCACACATCACTACCCCCGAAGACCGATCCCTGGGCCTCCCGCCTCCCGCTCATGTACGCGCAGAAGTCGTTGTAGTGGGCGAGGATTTCGTGGCGTAACTTGTGACATTCGGAGGTCTCGTGGGTGCTGTTGGGGCCGTGGAGCTGGCAGAAGTGCGATGACTGCTGCTGATGTGGCTGCACCGACCTTTGTGGTTGCTGGAGCCGATGTCCGCCTTGCTCCGATCCTGCAGCGGCTGGTTTCCCCGCCTCGCCGCCCCGGCCCACGCCGGCAGCGACGAGGGCGTGCCTCATCTCTTCCTTCCCCTCTCCGGCTCTACGCTCGTACCTCAGCTCGTGCTCTTTCAACCTCAGCATCTCCTGCATTGTAGCCCTCGACAACATCGAATCAAACAGGAGACGGTCTTTAGTTTTCTCAAACCTTGGGAGAAATCCCCGGACTTTGTGCCTGCACATCGACTTTTCATCCCTGCTATCACCATACGATCGAAGTCTCATCCACAGCGCAACTGCCCTACCATAATAGTCCATAAGACTCTCCTTGCCTCTGGCCTATTACGTTCCATGCGCTGTCAGGAGTTTGTCGCTCCTGACTCTTGTCCTGGCTGTATTGTTCGAAAAACACGCGGTACCCTGCTTGAGGTGATTCTGATGCCAAGATTTGGGCTTGTACGGGTTGTGCTGTGATCTTAGCCAGCATGAACGTCCAAATCTTCCTGGATTGCTTCACTCTCTCCTCTCCGAACGTGCTGCTCAACCCACCAGCTGCACAAACAGGGACCTCTGAACTCCTCATCACACCAGCAAGTCCCTCACTCTCCAGCCACGCTTCAAAAGCACTCGTGAACACTCGCAATGCAACTTCGATCGATCTGTTCTTCAGATAGTCATCACTCCATACTGGGACATCTGTTCTTCTCTCTCTGCCTCAGTTCTAAGATCTGGTTGTTAGACGTGCCTGAGTGGGCACGGTGCCCCTGGTCATGAGTTGATGTCGCGAAGGCCTGCTTGAAGAGGTCAACCAGCTCACGCATCGTGTCGCGCTGATCTTCCCCTCCTGCTGCTCGCGCACCCCCTCGGCCTCGTGTATCGCTGACGAAGAAAGAATCGCTCCCTCCTCCGACCGCGACGCCTTCCCCGGGGGGAGAGACAGCCTGACCTGATCCCCCCGGAGGCTCTCGTCCGTCTCCGTCCGGCATGTTGCGCGCTTGGACACGGCGGCCACTCTCTTGATCGTTACGCTAGCGNAAGAGGTCAACCAGCTCACGCATCGTGTCGCGCTGATCTTCCCCTCCTGCTGCTCGCGCACCCCCTCGGCCTCGTGTATCGCTGACGAAGAAAGAATCGCTCCCTCCTCCGACCGCGACGCCTTCCCCGGGGGGAGAGACAGCCTGACCTGATCCCCCCGGAGGCTCTCGTCCGTCTCCGTCCGGCATGTTGCGCGCTTGGACACGGCGGCCACTCTCTTGATCGTTACGCTAGCGTGTTGAGTAGGTTTGTGCGTCGGTGCCTTGGCGCGCGGGGTCCCTTGGTTGGGAAACAAAAGAGCCAGCGGCGCGGTAGCCGCCAACGGTACAGTGTAGGAACTATGATGGGCGTGACAGCCTTCTACTTTGGGATGGAGCGTGATAGCTCGGGTATGGTATCTCTGGATGTGGCGTGGAAGCCTGGTGACGTGATAGTCGTGGTGTATATGTATAAGTAAGGACGTGGTAGTCCGGATGGCGTGTTAGCCGGGTGGCGTAATAGCCAGGATTGGCGTGGAAGTCGTGGCATGATAGCCGTGGTAGCGTGATAGCCGGGGAAAAAGGACTTGATTGCACAGAGGAAGGAGGAAAAAGAGGGAAAAAAAACAAGTGAGAAACCACAACGCACAATCACCATATCCGTTGTAGACACACACATACCCCCACCCTCAATCCTGTAATATACGGCAAAGTTGGTACCACCAAAATCGAATCCAAAGCAACTGCTGAACCCCCAAACTCCCCGCTCCATTTGCTCGGAAATTTCTTGCTTGCAATGATCGGTCGATGCTGTGAGTACGTCGAACATAAGCGATGCGGCGCATCCTGTTTCACCATGAACATGAGGACGACTCATGCCTCGTTCTCCACGGCAATCGACTCCGCTTGATCGAACTACATGCAGAGGACACCACTCTCGAGGTCTTCAGCCCTAAACTCCAACATCTACAGCCGTGCCGACTCGGGCCTGGCCGTGGCTCGTTGCAGTCTCATGCTTGTAGACCGCATAATCCACGTCCGCGGGGAAAAGAGGATAGTAAAGGCAGCACCGGAAGAAGCACAACCGCGGGATACTGTTAACCTCCTTGTTGTTAAAGAAGGCTACCACCAAGGCAGCTGGCAGTATGTCGTCCTCTGTAGTTGCTGATGAAGATCAGCTCCACGAAAAGGGTAGAGAGCATGCTGAAGCCATCCAGGAACGAGCATCAAAGCGTGGCAACCAACAGGCTGCCGCTGCTGCTGCTGCTGCTGCTGCTGCGGGGAAGGGGAGGCGCAAGGGGGCGGACGCAGCTCTCTCCAACCCTCTAGCATTGGCTCACGATGGCGGGACGAGAAGCGGGGCTACCCCAGAGGCTTCGCGCGAGGAGCAGGTGAGGTTTTGGGTTGTTGAAGTGCTGTTGAAATGCTTGGACTACAATTGTACTTCTTGGCGCCAATTCGTGCCGCTCTATATTTATGTACAGTACAGTCGTCCCGCTTTAAAGACACATCACGTTTCTTTCGGGTGTCTTTTACGCAGGGAAGTGCCTTTAAGATTCCGGGGCCACTAACTCACTGTCCCCGGGGCCAATGGTAGCGTAGAACGCGCATGAAAAGTTGCATGGGATTACTGTTGTACTTGTTGCAGTCACTCTTCTACGTATGGCATTTGTTGTTGGCCCACCCATACTCCTGCTGAATATCACACACACCCTCCCCCGACTCCAACAATTCCTGATAGATGTACGCAGGCTTCGGAGGAGCGTCGCTCTAGCGCGCTGGAGTTGACCCAGAAAGACCACATGTTGATGGAGCGAGTACGGGTCATGCTGGGGGCGAGCGCTGCAGACCAGGCAGCAGCTAAGGAGGCGGTGGTCAACGCGGCGAACACTCGCGCGCTCCGTGCCTCGCTCCAAGCGCTGAAGTGGCACAGCAACAGCTCGATAGGGTGGACCGCGTACACGACAGCGCTCGCCACAGCAGCGGGAGCGGGGGAGCACACGTGTCCTGACCCCAACCTGTGCCACCCTGGCAACCGGTGCAAGCCCGCTGAGCCTGGTGGAGTGAGCTTTGCCGAGCGAGCCAAGAGTCTCGGCATTCGGTACGAGACTTTCGGCGACGCACGTTTCCGGATGCACAACACGAACCACGACATCGCCCCCAGGGACGCTGTGAGTGACGGGTGCTACGTGTATAACGAGCGCAAGACACGGAGTGACGTGACGAATCCCGAGGTAATGGCTCTCGCCAAGGCTTTTTGGCACTCCGACGACGTTTCCCGTGCAACAGGAAATTCAGGCAAGTTGCTGCGTCGCGCACGAGTTTCTGCTAGGCTACGCCGCGGAGGCGGACAAGGCGCGTGAAGGCCACTTCACAACCTGGTCCCCTTACCGGATCAAGAGCTTCGAAGTCAGGAAGTTTGGCCCCAAGGAATTCCTCGCCCACCGATAGATCTGACGGGGATCCCTGGAAGTTCCAAGCTATACTTTTTCACGGGAACAGAGGAGGAGCAGGAGGATGTGCAGGATACCTGTAGTCTTGTGTGGGCTACAAGTGTGGGGGTGCAGACAGACGATTCTGGGGTGGAAGCGGCCGGAGGTAAGGTGTTGACGGCTAGGAAGTGGGTGGTAGACGAGTCCAGGGCGAGGAAATGGACCGCCCCCAAGAACTTCACCAGATCTTGGAAGTTGCGGGTTCGGGGCGCATCGTGCTACTGCACGGCTTGCCGAGCAGGCTGCTACGATGACTGCATGGTTGCGAAGGTGTACCCCGACTTGGTTGGCAAGGTGATGGAGAAGTCGGGAAAGGAGAAGGTTGGGAGACGCACGCTTGGGCCTCAATTGACCGGCGGTATTGTTCCGGTGATTCCTTCGGACGAGTCTCCAGTGGCGCCTACTCCCAACCCCATGCCTAGTCCGACGCTTGACGAGAGCATGGGGGAGAAGGAAGATGGGGAGGAGGAGATGGAGGAGGAGAGGGAGGAGGAAGAGGACGAAGAGGAAGAGGAGGAGGAGGAGGATGGGGAGGAGGAGGAAGAGGAGAGGGAGGAAGAGGAGAAGGAGGAAGAGAGATACGAGAGCTCAAGGGGGCCCGTACGCGTTGCGAAGAGGAGGTTCTCGGAGTTGGGCTAGTGAATATGTGTTGACTGCCAACCGTGAAGAGTAGAAGCACTTAAATTGATCAGAATGTGGGCAAATCCCCGTTTTTTCCCCGGGGGGGGGGACGGAATTTTCGTGTCCCCTGTCTCGTTTTTCCCCCGTGTGATTGGCACAAGCTGCAGGGCTGTTTGTAACTGAATAGCGGTCCAAAACGCACTCAAATTGACCAAGATATAGGAAAATCCCCGTTTTGTTCCCGGGGGGAACAGAATTTTCGTGTCCCCTGTATCGCTTTTCCCCATGCCGTTGGAACAAGCTGCAGGGATTTTGTTTCCGGAACAGCGGTCAAAAAAGCACTCAATTGGCCAAGATATGGGCAAATCCCCGTTTTGTTCCGGGGGAGGGACGGAAATCTCGTGTCCCCTGGTTCGCTTTTTCCTATCCATTGAGTAAGATAAATCACCAAATTTCGCTGAAAACCCACCTTCCCGACCCCGGATAAATCATCTCAGACCGGATGTCGCATGTACACACCCAGAGCAACCCACAGTTGACTTTTCAAAGACTAGGCGGTTTGGCAATAACTCCAATCTCAACCTCACTTCGGCATACGCCGGAAGGCCCCCAAGGCTCAAAATGCTTTTACAGTGGTCTACTACATATGAGAAACAGGACCGGACTCCGGACTCAGAACATTCATCACACGCTACATCAGTACTTCAGTCTGGAAGCACATGGTACAACGTAGCAATAGCCTGTGCTCTTATCGATGAGACACGCAAGGATTGATTGGTGTTTCTTGTACGCGGGCGGGCCGGCAAGCCGCAACAAATAGCAGCCATATATCTACGCACCTTCCAGCGCATGCGATTACCGTCGTTCTCTCTCATGGTCAGCTATCCATTCAAAGAATCTGGGAGACACAAAATCCGGTTAAAAACAGATCGAGACTCGAGAACTTGACCATGAGAACAGGTGCTCATACGAAAACTACAGTCCACAGTAAGTCGAGGTTGGGGAACCCCACAGAGAGGTAAGAAACTCCGAAGGCCTTGTCCCGCAGAAGATAGATACTACCGTCGCATCTCCACGAAGCCCGAGAATAGGTATCGTCGGCGCTTTCTTTCGGCGGTCAAGCCAACCCCACTCGTCCCTGGCGATGTGACAATCGACGACATCCCTTTGAAACGTTAACAGGACCATACTCGTCATCAAGCCCAAGCTAGAGAGCTCGGCCCTAAGCATTGTATCAGCGTTGCCCCTGCCGGTTAAACGGGAGAGCTCTTTGTGTGTGCGTTTTAGTTGTTGAAGCGCCATCTGCGGCGACAACGCTCTGATGCTGTTGTTAAACGGTCCTGTCTCAGCCGGGTAAATGGTTAACCTTTTCCCGGGTGGCTGAGTGGTCTACCTCCATACCATATGGCGTCGTCTGCAGGACATATGTCGGGAGTTCGAATCCATATGTTAAGGAGGTAGACCACTCAGCCACCCGGTAAAAGGTTAACCATTTACCTGGCTGAGACAGGACCTTATAACACTCTCTAGCACTAAAACCTAGCGGGAAGTAATCCCCAGGGCCACACGTAGGGTCGACGACTTTCTTCAGACGGTAGGGAGGATGCTTGTTCCGCTAGGATTTTTAGATGCGAGTGTGTTTTCACCTTTCACGCACAAGTCATTTTCTCTTTTTTCTGTTCGAATCAGAAAATAAAGAAAGTGCACACGTCGGGATTCGAACTCCCCACACATGTCCTAGACGACGCCATATGAAAAGGGGGCAGACCACTCAGCCACCCGGGAAAAGGTTAACCTTTTACCGGGTGGCTGAGTGGTCTACCTCCTTAGCACTGTTACCTACATCAGCCTTGATACTCTTGTTATGGTTCCCCTACCCCTCTAACTTCGTTCCCCCTCTGTCACCCTCCTCACCCCGATACCCTCCTTGCCTTGATAATTTATCAATCCGCTTACCCTCCGTACCCCCTTACGCCCCTTGCCCCCTTACCCTCCTTACACCCAAACCCCCCTCACTCACGCCCTTACCCCCTTACCTCTACAACCCAGCCCCTACAGCTCCTGGCCAATCCCACACAGAAGGTGGGAGCAGCTAGAATGGATGTGGTGGAGAAAAGCAAGACTGAACGTGGACATCGAGTCGGCGACAGCCAACCCTTTATTTCGACATGAACAGTATCAATGTTTCTACCACCCAGCTGCTCACAACATAGAACGAACACCACACATTCACACCCACATTTCACACACACAGAAACGAATACGATGCCCGTGGATTAAAACCCCCGAGCCGACACGATCACGGTAAAACTCTCACCCCCACGCATACACTTAAACTCGGCGGATGCCTGCACACCCTGCACACCACGAACAGGACCACAAGGCAACCGGACACTACAGTAGAAGCACCTGACATGTCTACCGTACGCCGACTACAGAACCACCTTGATCTTGACCAAACGCTGGGTGGTCTTCGTGACCCTACATAGTACAACACGTAGACAATGGCCTCCACAGCAGGTGGTTCCAAGAAAGACGCGGAAATACCCAAGCACAACAATCGTGGCGCATCAGAGAAAGCCCAACATCTAGAACACCAACATCGTATCTAATCTCCCAAAACTCTTGAATCGAATCTGCGTAATCTGAGACATGGCAAGCATGAAAGCACGTGACATACGTGAGAGTGCGTTCATCACGGGCACGCACACAACAAAAATCAAACATTCAATACCAACCGAATGTACGCGGATCACGCCTAAGAGCTGCAACAGAAATCACAAGCAGCTACTACTGGTATGCTAGTCTACCCAATCACGAAATTGTCTCGAGCCTCAGCAACCAGCTTTACAGGGGAAAAAAGCCACCAGGAATTGTCGTGAGGCTCAATTGATGCCCCCGTAGACCAAGTTAGTGTGTGGTACACTAGACCGTTCCAAATCGACGCGGACTCTTGTCGGCAGGCTACGATCGTAACTGAATCCGTCCTCAATGGCCGACGGAATTTACCCCAGGTCCAATTCTCAACGCAGGCTGCAGATGTATGGTGCCACAAAATTCCAAATGAACAACAGGGTACAGTGAGGCACGCCCAATGCTTCTAAGTCGTCACAAGCTATCTCAAGGGCCGGTTGGGGCAATCGTATCGCCATTAAATATCATACTACAAAGCGATCGACAACTATGTTGCATGGCTTAACATATCGAGTGCTTTTTTTGCCACAAACACTGGTGCTAACCTGGCATTTTCTGTCTGCGACCTCGAGCACTCCAGAATACGTCCTAGTTTATGTTTTTTTGTTGATGTCGCTGTTGCTGCTTGCAGCAGCAGCAGCTGCAGCTTCAGCTGCTGTCATTGATTGGTGCGATTGCGTCTGGTTGCAAGGTAACGGACGGTTACAGCTTTCCCCCTCATATCGCAGCCAAAGATGCTGGTGAGCCACGACGACGGCCGGGGCTTCTACCCCCCGCGCCGTTGCCTGCTCCCTCAGACCTCGCTGCTCCTCGCACACGGCAGAACCATTCCCTAGAATCTGATTCCGCGTTGCTCTCACACCCTCAATATTTTCAGCGCCTGATTCGGCGCCGATGTGTCCATGCTCTGTGATCCGGGCCTTCCCTACACCCGGGCTTTCTTTGCCCATGCGTCCCTTGTCATTATGTATGGTCCTTGAATCCTCGGTGCGAGGAAACGCAGGCTTCGGAGTATCTTCCGGACAACACACGCACACACGAAGGATGGTGCATACCAACGTTAGTGTCACCACATAATTGGGAACACACCTCTCCGACACTTTCAACAGTAGGCAGCGTGGCCGTCGGTGTGTGGTGAGAGGGTTGCCTTCTGTCTGACCCCTTCTCACGAACAGCGATCGCCCATGGCAAAGCTGCAACTAGGAAGGAATGTTCTAGGAGATTTTGCAGCCACCCTTAGAGGCCGAAGCCACGTCTATTTTGCGGCCGAAGTCGCTTGTATCGGCCCGGCTCTCGTTGGACGAGACAGCAGAGTGAACGGTCACGACCTGGGGTGTGATAGACACTGGTAAAAGAGCAATGAACTTGTGTCCAAACGGGAGGCTACCTACAAACTCCATGCACGCATGCCAACGAAAACGCAAAACACCCAACAAACGAGCGGGAACCTAGACGGTTCAATAAAATAATAACCCAACAGCTTCAGCAACGTGTGCGTAACCCCCTTCTCACAATTAAGTTGATGAAGGTCTTCAACCCCACCTCGAACAGAAATATGGTGCCCTCGTCCAACATGCCTCCCGCAACGCAACTCAACCCTACTGGCAATTGNAGAGAGAGAAAGAGAGAGAGAGAGAGAGAGAGAGAGGGAGAGAGAGAGAGAGGGAGAGGGAGAGAGGGAGAGCGAGAAGCAGGGAGAGCGAGAAGCAGGGAGAGCGAGAAGCAGGGAGACAGACAGACAGACACACCGAGGGAAGATGAGGAAAGAGTTGAAGGTGATCCCCCCTGGCACTGTGGGCGATTATCAATTGACCTACGAAACGGGTAGCCTCATTACCAATGTTAGTGTCTGGTTAAAAACACGCAAAATAGTAGTGCGGCCGTTGAGGGAACATGAGGGGGCTAACAAACGGATCCCTGTCCTAGGTTGATGCGCGGAGAAGGAAAAATCATGAAAATTCGCGACTGGAGGTACGAGACTTTCTAGCTTGTGCTGGAACATGCCAAGGGCTAACGTGGGCAACAACATATGCAAGGGTGAACATACAACCCTAAGGCAAGTACCGAAGGAAGAGAATGGGAGGACAAGGAAAGGAAAAAAAAATGCGACCTTCCTCCTGTGTTACCCCGGCTGGTACATGAGCTAGATACAATCATCGAGAGGTGTGGAGACCGGCGCCTGAATGAATAGGAGGAACACACATTCATACACTTCATTGGTCAGCCAGTTTGCGCCATTGATGCCAACGTTAAACAATAAGAGTAAGTACTAGAGAAATGACACACACACACAGGCGTGATCAAAATGCTCGTCAACGAACTAGTCGCGGACGCCAGCCAGGTACTGCGGCGGGGGGGGGGGGTACTCATAGTCGTGCATGCCGTAGTCGTTAGACCATTGACCTCGCATCCCTACAAAGCCGGGACGGAGCACGCCGGGTTCTCACCGGACCAGGCTCTCACATCACCAAGCGCGAAGCGCCGTGAGATATTCGGCGAGTCGCATGAAGGGTGCGCTTCATCCTGCTAAGGGTTTTCGGCATCTTGTGCTTCCGTCCTTGCGTACGGATGACAGCTGCGTATGACTTAATTTACTTTCTGGTGCTTTCACTTCCAGAGACAGTTGTAAGCACTGTGTAACTGCCTCGAGGGTGCTTGACCATTTTAACACAACGTGGTGCGATCATCCCCCTTGCGCGGAGTGAGGGTTCTCCACCCCGCACAACATGATCTACTCGACCACCATTATGGTTACCGCAAAAACAAAACCG